CCTCTGTTCTCTGGGTAGTGAGATCAGACGCTTATGTACATTGTTGCGCACGTAAAAAAAAAAATCCCTTGGCAGTTGGAAATCGAAAAGAGTAGCCTAACGGCGCTGCCCGGACAAAATTTAGAGTTAAAATTCTACCCAAAGTATTTCAGGATCCTCACCGGTGCTGAAGAGCCTGTGCTCTGTGCCGAGCTTCTTCGGGCTCAGTCTTGAGTTAGAGGAAGAACGAAGCACTAAGGGGTTACAACCTTGTGCCATGATGTTGATCCGTTCTTCAAAACCTTAAAAAAGAAGACGCAATTCATTTGAGATTTGGCAATTTTTTCCATATCTTTCTTTGCATTACATAAAACTTGTTTTTGTGGCAATGCAGTCAAGACGTTTGCCTCGCGCTCTTAAAGTCGTGTGTTCGTTTGACGGCGGCGTTATTTGTTTCACGAATGCAATTTTACAGGGATCGTCGCCGTATCTACGGGGTTCGTAAACTGTTGTGTGGGGAGAGATCAAGCTATATGGAATAAAACTCAGTAGCAATGAAGTCAGTCCTCTTACTTTAACCGTAAATCAGATCTGTGTCACTTTTTGTTAGCTACATATCTGATTGTATTTGTCATCCGGCCTGCCACCTAAACGTTAGAACACCCCAAAAAGCCTCACCCTGGATGATAAACGAACAAAATAAATTAATGATAGGCTTTTCCACCGCCTAGGAGTTAAAATTAGGACACACATAACAGTTACAACATGTGACACCCAGATTGTATCTTCACTGGGTGGTATCTTTACTGGGTGGTATCTTCACTGTGTGGTATCTTCACTGTGTGGTATCTTCACTGTGTGGTATCTTCACTGTGTGGTATCTTCACTGGGTGGTATCTTCACTGTGTGGTATCTTCACTGTGTGGTATCTTCACTGGGTGGTATCTTCACTGTGTGGTATCTTCACTGGGTGGTATCTTCACCGGGTGGTATCTTCACTAGGTGGTATGTTCACTGGGTGGTATCTTCACTGTGTGGTATCTTCACCGGGTGGTATCTTCACTAGGTGGTATGTTCACTGGGTGGTATCTTCACTGTGTGGTATCTTCACTGGGTGGTATCTTCACTGTGTGGTATCTTCACTGGGTGGTATCTTCACCGGGTGGTATCTTCACTAGGTGGTATGTTCACTGGGTGGTATCTTCACCGGGTGGTTTCTTCACTGAGTGGTATCTTCACTGGGTGGTATGTTCACTGGGTGGTATCTTCACTGTGTGGTATCTTCACCGGGTGGTATCTTCACTAGGTGGTATGTTCACTGGGTGGTATCTTCACTGTGTGGTATCTTCACTGGGTGGTATCTTCACTGTGTGGTATCTTCACTGGGTGGTATCTTCACCGGGTGGTATCTTCACTAGGTGGTATGTTCACTGGGTGGTATCTTCACCGGGTGGTTTCTTCACTGAGTGGTATCTTCACTGTGTGGTATCTTCACTGTGTGGTATCTTCACTGGATGGTATCTTCACTGGTTGGTATCTTCACTGTGTGGTATCTTCAGTGGGTGGTATCTTCACTGTGTGATATCTTCACTGGGTGGTATCTTTAGTCCGGCAAACCTGTGTCTCTAGCTATTATTGAATAATATTTTTGATTGAATACTATTATTATTATGATTGTTTGGTTGTGTGATGTCATATTTACTATTGCGGTTGGTGGGCAATGTATCCACTGCAGACTATGGAAGATTACGTGCTTATGTCCCAAACTCTTCCACTGTGCGACTCTCATACAACTGTCTGACAGCCACCAGAACGGATATTTTCCTAAGTGCCCCCTGTTTTAAATCCTGACATCCCCGTTGTGTTTCTGGCCCTTTTGTAGCGAAAATACGGACAGACCCACTGCCTCTCCAACAAGCATGTCGTAAGAATCGACTAACTGGGCGCTTCCTTCATATTCGCGGTACAACTGCCTTGCAGGTATAGAAACAACAGTCTGCAAATAAATAAGCCAATTCTGCAAACTGGATATAATACAACACTTAGATTCTGGAAAAAGACTAAGGTTCAGAGCACGACGAACAACCAGAACTTTTCGCAGGAGTTTAGGGCCGGTGAAGGAGGAGGAGGAGGAAGAAGAGAAGAAAAAGGCGAAGAAGAAGGCAAAGAAGAAGAAAAAGAATAATAATAATAATAAAAATAATAATAATAATAATAACAATAATAATAATAAAAATAATAGAAGAGAAAGAAGAAAGAAGAAGAAGAAGAAGAAGGAAGAAAAGAAGAAAGAAGAAGAAGAAGAAGAAGAAGAAGGGAAGAAGAAGAAGAGAAGAAAGAAGAAGAAGAAGAAGAAGAAGAAGAAGAAGAGAAGAGAAGAGAAGAAGAAGAAGAAGAAGAAGAAGAAGAGAAGAAGAAGAAGAAGAAGAAGAAGAAGAAGAAGGAAGAAGAAGAAGAAGAAGAAGAAGAAGAAGAAGAAGAAGGAAGAAGAAGAAAGAAGAAGAAGAAGAAGAAGAAGAAGAAGAAGAAGAAGAAGAAGAAAAGAAAGAAGAAGTAAGAAGAGAAGAAGAAGAAGAAGAAGAAGAAGAGAAGAAGAAAGACGAAGAAAGAAGAAGAAGGAAGACGAAGAGAAGAAGAAGAAGGAAGAAGAAGAAGAGAAGAAGAAGAAGAAGAAGAAGAAGAAGAAGAAGAAGAAGAAGAAGAAGAGAAGAAGAAGAAGAAGAAGAAGAAGAAGAAGAGAAGAAGAAAGAAAGAAGAAGAAGAAGAAGAAGAAGAAGAAGAAGAGAAGAAGAAGAAGAAGAAGAAGAAGAAGAAGGAAGAAGAAGAAGGAAGAAGAAGAAGAGAAGAAGAAAGAAGAGAAGAAGAAGAAAGAAGAAGAGGGGGGGAAAAAAAAAAAGGGGGGGGGAAAAAAAGGGAAAAAAAAAAGGGGGGGGGAAAAAAAAAAGGGGGGAAAAAAAAAAAAAAAAGGGGGGGGAAAAAAAAAAAGGGGGGGGGGGGTGGAAAAAAAAAAAAAGGAAAAAAAAAAAAAGGGGGGGGGAAAAAAGGGGGGGGAAAAAAAAAGGGGGGAAAAAAAAAAAAAAAAAAAAAAAAAGGGGGAAAAAGGGGGGAAAAGGAAAAAAAAAAAAAAAAAAAAAAAGGGGGGGGGGGGGGGGGAAGGGAAAAAAAAAAGGGAAAAAAAAAAAGGGGGGGAAAAAAAAAAAAGGGGGGGGAAAAAAGGGGGGAAAAGGAAAAAAAGGGGGGGGGGGGAAAAAAAAGGGGGGGGGAAAAAAAAAGGGGGAAAAAGGGGGGGGAAAAAAAGGGGGGGGAAAAAAGGGGGAAAAAAAAAAAAAAGGGAAAAAAAAGGGGAAAAAAGGGGGGGAAAAAAAAGGGGAAAAAAAAAAAAAGGGAAGAAAAAAAAAAAAAAAAAAAGGAAAAAAAAAAAAAAAAAGGGGGAAAAAAAAAAAAAAAGGGGGGAAAAAAAAAAAAAAAAAAAAAAAGGGGGGGGGGGAAAAAGGGGGGGGAAAAAAAAAGGGGGGGGGGAAAAAAAAAAAAAAAAAAAAGGGGGGGGGGGAAAAAGGGGGGGGGAAAAGGGGGGGGAAAAAAAGGGAAGAAAAGAAGAAGAAAAAAGAAGGAAAAGGAAAAAGGGGAAGAAGAAAAAGAAGAAAAAGAAGAAGAAAAAAGAAGAAGAAAAAGAAAAAAAAAGAAGAAGAAAAGGAAAAAGAAGAAAAAGAGGGAAAAGGGAAAAAGAAGGAAAAAGGGGAAAAAAAAAAAGGAAGAAGGAAAAAGGAAAAAAAAAAAAGAAAAAGAAAAAAAAAAAAAAAAAAGCGGAGGGAAAAAAAAAAAAAAAAAAGGAAGAAGGGCGGGGGGACCCGGAAAACCTTGGGGGGTTTTCCCCCCCAGCCGGACAGAACGACGCTGGTAATATTAGGACGTATAAAATAAATGTTACACTGCATTAAAAGAAAAAATATTTTATAAAATGGCGGTGAGGGGATTATTCTAAATCTAAATTTTTAAATATATTTAGGCTGACATCTGAAGGTGTGCGAAGAAGGACAAGAAAATACCTGGGTTTATACCTGAGACTTTGCTGTGTGGCAAGTCGGTGGACAATTGTTAATGTTAGTCTTGTTTCGAGGTACGGTCCTTTCCTTGGCTAGCTCTAACCAGGACACAACATTCCCAAATGTCAGTAGAGGCTATTTATCAATGTCTCTTTGCCGCATCAGATTTAAGCCTAACACTCCAGCACCTACCTGAGCCAGGTAAATAATTTCACAAGAGATCTAGAAATATATTCTCTAGATACATTCTTTAGGTCACATGTACATCTTACGTCACAGGCCGAAAGCTAAAAACAAGATCCCAGTGGGACCAGACAAGAAGACCAGTCCTTAGAGGTAGCTGAGATAGGAGACATAACTGCTCCTGCTCGACTACATCGGTCTTCAGTTGGACTTTTCTATTGTTACCAAGCTCCAAGGACAGTCTGTAGGTCTTTGTGCAGCAGGTTAACTGGAGCTTCGTTAATACCTGGACTTACTGTTGACAGTTTTTATTATCGTATTTTCCTTTCTGATTTCATTGTGAGTTTTTCTGCAACGTTTAATGACAATTGTCTTGTCAGTCGTATTACTAGAGAAGCCTGAAAAAAATGTGTAAGAAACTGATAACAAATATTTGTACCTTTTAGCTTCTCTCAGTATATTCTGTGTTCTATTTTTAAATTGCCTATGACTTTAATTGGTTAATGAACAAAAAATAACATTTAATTCACAAGTAGTTGTTTCTTCAAAAAGTGTTTCCATTGCTGTGTTGTCCTAACAATTATCCGATGTCAAACTATGACTTTGACAAACGTGACATTGAACTTAATTTCAAAACACCGACAAACGCAATCGATTGCAGTGAATTTGTCCAGAGTTTGTTATGTATAACGGCACCTCACTTTTAGTTAGTTAGGTTGCTCGACAATTACAGAAAATTACCGTGTTTCAAATTTGCCCAGGAGCGCCCTGAAGACCAATTTGCGGCTATCCTAGATGCAGGGACTCTCCCAGACCATGGCTTCTCGAAGAGTTTTATGGGTCATGATGTTCTTCTGTGTGGTCAGAATGTCCAGTGCCAAGGTCCGGCTTGTAAACAACGGTTATGAGGGAGTTATTATCGCCATCAATCCGAACATCAAAGAGAACACCGCCATCCTCCGCCGTCTGGAGGTAAGCTGGCTTTCGTTCACTTGTGTGGGTGTGTGTGTGTTTGTATGAGTATACTGTGTGTATATGTGTTTTCGTGTTGGTCTATGTTGTGTATCTGTGGTGTGTTCGTTGCTATAAACTCCTTCTTCTTCTTCTTTCGTTCCTTTGAAATAGATTATCTATATTTGCAATGTTATCTCTAGTATGAACTTCACTGTCTTTTGTAATTCACTCAGCGACCTGTAAAGTTTGACCTGCACCGATGTTTCTCTTGGCCAAAAGTTTTGCCTTGATATGTTGTATTAGGGACAGTCTTGGAGGACGGGATCTGTTGTCTCAGGTGCCAGTCCACGTGTACACATGGCTGATTCGCCGATTGTGTGTACATGTGGCTGCAAAGTCGAATGTGTCCTGTTCTAAGGCGTAGAATAATGACTTGCTATGGTCTATCCATAAAATGCTAATCGTCTTGTGCCTTTGCTGTTGCCACAAACATATGCGTGCTCTTTTTCTGTTCTGATCAGTTGTATTTATCGTGTGGTTATGTATAGCAGAATAATTTTATAGACGATGAGAACACCTTAGACAGATAAAAAAAAAAAAAAAGAGTAAGGACGATGTCTTGTAATTAAGTGACCCACAAAAAGGAAAACTAGTTGCCCAAATCAGAAGGAGATAATCTACACTCTTTAGTCGTGTCATAAAAAAAAAGAGAAAACTGGAGTACATTGTGACATCAGGAAATGTAAGGAGGTGGGTGGCAAAAGAGGAAAAAGACATTTTGACATCACGGCACGGAGGATCATCTGTGGTCAGAACTGATTGAAAGTCCACGAGACAAAAGGTTGTCGATAGACATAACTACTAGCACCATACGGCATGGAGGATCATCTGTGGTCAGAACTGATTAAAAGTACACGCGAGACAAAAGGTTGTCGATAGACATGACTACTAGCACCACACGGCACGAAGGAACATCTGTGGCCAGAACTGATTGAAAGTACACTGAGACATGAGGAGAGGACGAAGAGGTGTTTATAAACCGCTGCCTTTATATAAACTAAGTTAAGCCCCTGGAAGCCGCTATGGTGTAGCAACTAAATGCTTGCCTGCGGATCGGAAGCTCGTGGGTTCAGGGCCTGACGAGGCTGGAATTTTTACAAAAAAATTAGCTTGACTTCCATGTCCACACATCTTTGATTCTAGAACAGTTTCGGGAAGTAAAGGTGGCCGAGGTAATGTTGACTACATCTAATTAGTCCTGATTGGTCTATAAAATATAGGTCTAACCCTATATGCCTTTTTACGACTTCAGCCTTGAAAAGATTCTTTTGTTGTTGTTGCTTACTAATTATGTCTCGGTCTACTGTTGTCTTTAATCTGTGTTATTATTGTTTGTCGTTGCAACAATAACAACATAAACATCAAAAACAATTATTGTTTACAACTACCATAATGCTTTAAAACTATTACTATGGCTAGTACTACAAATGGCGTTCCAGTCCTGTTGCCGGTAATTCTAGGACAGGTGTTGCTACAACTCCTTGTACTAAATGCTGCTAACAACTACAGTTGCTGAACGAAATTCCACAACCAACACCAACACAACAGCTGCTGCTACTTTTGCTGTTACTGCTATTACTTCTATTACTGCTCCTGCTACTGCTGCTGCTACTATTACTACTACTGCTGCTGCTGCTAACATTAATAATAATAATAATAATAATAATACTAGTGCTCTTTTTTTTCATCATCATGACCGTTGTCGTCATTATCATCATCGTCTTCTTCTTCATCTTCTTCTTTTGCTTCATATTTTTTTTTCCTCGGCTGCTTCTACTACTTTGGCAATTACTACTGCCGAATGTTGCAGTTTCCCACTAGATGCTCCCAACCACTACACACCAGTTTTGCCTTAAATATATCTGTGGTAAGTTCACACTTTTGGGAAGTAAAGGTACTGATAATGATGATGATGATGATGATGATGATGATAATGATGATGATGATGATATTGATAAGGTCCCCTCCTCCCCCCCCCCCCCCCCCCCCCCCCCCCCCCCCCCCCCCCCCCCCCCCCCCCCCCCCCCCCCCCCCCCCCCCCCCCCCCCCCCCCCCCCCCCCCCCCCCCCCCCCAGTGTTCTCCGTTGGAGCTACTACTTCAAGGTTTGAACACCTAACGAGTTACATCCTGGATGGTGTTAGGGTTTGAACACCTAACGAGTTACATCCTGGATGGTGTTAGGGTTTGAACACCTTCCGAGTTGCATCCTGGATGGTGTTAGGGTTTGAACACCTACCGAGTTACATCCTGGATGGTGTTAGGGTTTGAACACCTACCGAGTTGCATCCTGGATGGTGTTAGGGTTTGAACACCTACCGAGTTGCATCCTGGATGGTGTTAGGGTTTGAACACCTTCCAAAGCATCCTGGATGGTTTTAAGGTTTGAACACCTACCGAGTTGCATCCTGGATGGTGTTAAGGTTTTAACACCTTCCGAGTTGCATCCTGGATGGGGTTAGGGTTTGAACGCATTCCGAGTTGCATTCTGGATGGTGTTAAGGTTTGAACGCCTTCCAAAGCATCCTGGATGGTTTTAAGGTTTGAACACCTTCCGAGTTGCACCCTGGATGGTGTTAAGGTTTAAACACCTTCCGAGTTGCATCCTGAATGGTGTTAAGGTTTGAACACCTTCCGAGTTGCACCCTGGATGGTGTTAAGGTTTTAACACCTTCCGAGTTGCACTTTGGATGGTGTTCAGGTTTTAACAGCTTCCGAATAGCATCCTGGATGGTGTTTAGGTTTGAACGCCTTCCGAGTTGCATCCTGGATGACAGTACAATGGAACCCAAATGCCCGTTAAAACCCCAATGCCCGTTTAATCTCCAAGGTAGTTAGTTATAATTAGGACACCCATGAAAGCTACGTCAAATAGAATACCATGCAGTCCTCTGTGTAAGACGTATCTTCGTCTTCAGCATTCAATGACCTTGAGGTTCCGTGCTGCAGATATCAACCGCCTCGACTCATCTCTCTGGTTGGCCTTTTCCCTCCAGCTGGTGACATCAGTTATTTATAGGTCGGTCTGGATATTATCTCTCTATCGTCTTCTTGGTCTGCCTCGTGGTCTATGACCATTCGGCTCCCTCGTGTACAGTGTAACCTCTGTCATTTGACATTCTTTTAATATCCCCAGCAAATTCCACCTATTGGCTCTCATGATGACAGTGATCAATGGTGATTTGTTGTTTCTCACTTTTTTTTCATGAATTCTCTCATTTGTTGCCTAACTACTTTTATTGCTTTACATTCTGTTCTATATTTTTGTTCATTTTGTATGTTACTAGTATCATTTGGCCACATCTGCCTGACATGTTTTCTTTCTTACTGACTGCTTCTTCACATTTTTTATACAACCATTTGTTCTTTCTGTTTATGGTTGACACACCAAGACATTCTTCTGCAGTGGTTTGATTTATATTCTTGATATACATCCAGGCTTGGTCAACATCTTCTTCTGGCGGATTTTGTAAATATTCAATGTTATGTTTTAATTGATCAGAAAATTTCTCTGATATGGAAGTTTCTTGTAATCTTTCTCTATTATGCCCTAAAAAGTGATCTTTATAACTTGGTGTAGAAGGATCTGTTTAACTTGATTTTTTAAATTTTGCACAAACCAGGTAATGCTCACTATGACACTCAGCTTCTTATGGCTTCTAACTTGTTGTATGTTCGATGCATTTCTATTATTTATTAAAATGTGATCTGTTTGATTCTATATTATCTTGTCACATGATTGCCAGGGTTTTTTTGTGTATAGCTTTTTTTTTGAAATCTGGTGCTGTTTATCTGTAGTTCTGTGGCTGTTGCGAGGTTGATTAATCTCCATCAATTATCGTTGGAATGTATACGTTAAGGTCTAGGTTAAGACGACAGATAACATTATGGCATAAGAGTAGTAATCCATAAGTGCTTCGTTCTACTTCTGACTTCAGCCTGAGTTCAACTATTCTCAGCGCAGTGCAAGACTCGATAGCACCGACGAGGATCAAGGAGACCATTTAAATTTTTTAAATATATGATCTTCATCATTTGTGGGTGTATGAACATTAATCTCCTCCGAAGTCGGAGTACATCTGCCGGAGAGGCGGGGAACGAGAACTGCAAACAAATAAGCCAGTAAAACGGATGTACACGCAAAACTCAGGTCAAGGTAAAAGCCAAAAGTCCATTTTGGACGAACAACCGCGACTTACCGCCGGAATTCACAGCCGGTGAACAAGAAGAAGAAAGAAGAAGAACATTAATCATCGTAATATTTTTACATTTTCCTTTTATTCTATTTTAGTGATCCTATCATTAACAGCTTCAAAATTGATGATACTTTTTTTCTTGATGACGAATCCTGTCCGTAGCTCCTGTTTGTTTTGAGTGTTTCCTCCATAACTAAGGTCATTCCATTTTCCTCTATCGTACATCATCCTCTTCATCTTATTTCTTGAATCGCTGTTACATCCATTCAGTAATTCGATAACTTGCGGGTCAGTTCTTCACCTGCTCCAGCTCTATACGGGGTTCAGACATTGCTTGTTTCAAATCTCAAAACTCCCTTAGCTTTCCAGTCTCTTTGTCCGTTTAAATCCATCCGAAATGGAGGCTTTGATATCCGTATAATCTGTATAATACAAGGGGTGTAAAAACCAATAAACAGGACGATAATAATGATGTGCAAATTGTAATGTTGTTGTTAAAGTTTAAACCAGTGGTTTTCAACTTTTTTTTAACCACCTCTCTACCTTCCATCTCTTTTTGTTAAAATATAGAATATGACTTCCGCTGTTACCCAGCCAACTTTAAACGGAGAAGTGACTGAGAAAAAAAGACCCCACTCCCCCCCTTCCCCCACACTTTCCGAAAAAAATATTTAAATGAGTAGTAACACAAGCCTAGATAAAAACATGAACATAAATCAAAGTGTTAAATGAAATAAAGGAGTCGGCCGCCACCAACTGGCAAC